GACTGGCTTACAAGGTTTCAAGAGGGAGTTTAATTTAAGAGTGTGTGGAGGAAGAAAGAATTCCCACTGAATAGTTGTCATCTTGTCTAGATGTTGTTGTTGTTAAGTACCGTGGAGTCGATTCCAACTCATAGTGACCCTGCACAGAGTTTCCAAGGCTGTAAATCTTTACGGGAGCAGAACGCCTCGTCTTTCTCCCGTGGAACTGCTGGTAGTTTCGAACTGCTGACCTTGAGGTTGGCAGCCAGACTTGTAACCACTACGCTACCAGAGCTCCTCCTTGTCTAGATAGGTCTGGTTAAAAGATACAATAGTGAGTAATTGTTATCATGACTCATTGCGACTATCACAATTGTAAAGGTAGAAGTTTTGTAACAAAATGGGGGAGCAGTTAATCTTATAGTCCAGAAACAAAGGACCCTAAGACCATCAAGGGAGAAGAGCACAAGCGGACTGTGGGACCTTATCCAGAGAAGCAGCGACACCAGAGATGGAGGCAGAGATGGGGACATGGAGAAAGGGAGCAGCTGAGGACTCTAGATTCATGGGAAGAGAGGGACTGAGAGATGGTGACCATGAGGCACACTTGCAGAATGTACCCTTTGGTGCTATAAATGATTATATATGCCTGAGTGTTTTGTGTTTTTAAAGAGCTAAAGTGAATAGAGAGAAATACTATTACCTGATGGTGCATGGAAGGGAATGTACTCATTGTGATGAAACATGTTGTATGATTTGTTGAATGTAAACTGATGATCTGCCCAGTAAACTTTCACTCAATCCACAATAAAAATATAAAAAGGGAAAAAAAAAAAAATCCCAGCTTTGAACAACAACAAAAAAAGTGAATAAGACGAATAACATAACTTTCAGAGGGTAAAAAAAAAAAGTTGGATAGAGAAGGAGTTCAATAAGCTTGAAAAGGAAAGGCCTGTGCGATAGGAAGCAAAACAAAAGAATGAAGTGCTACTCAATGCTGTGAGAAAAAGTGCCCAGGCAGGAAAGGTAGATCCCATGACTGCAACGCTGCTTTGAGGCCCAGTAAGATGAGGAAAGATGGATTTGGCAGCATGAAGGTCTTTGACCACCTTGAAAATAGCAGTTTCATTGTGGAGGGGTAGAAACAAGATTGGAGTGTGTTGAAGATTATGTGGAAGGTGAGTCTATGGAGTCAGTGAATGTGGAACACTCTTCTAAAGCAGTTTTTCAGGGAAGGGAACCGGAGAAATGGGCAGTTATTAGATCCCAAAACACATTAGGGTCAAGAGAAAATGTATTGTTGTTCATGGGAGATATAGAACATATCTGAATGATTGAAAAGATTTGTCCAGGAAAGAAGGAGAAATTGATGATGCAGGAGAACAAAGCAGTAGGAATGAAGTCTGAAAGAAGTGGGTGTGGGATCCAGTTTTCTGAGAGTTTATCTACCTTTAAGAAATTAATTTAAAAGGTAAAGTTCAGAATTTATTATTTCTGAGAGTATTTGTACTGTATCATGAGTGGTATCCTACAATGAAGATAGCAGACACTGAGTGTTATATCTTGAATTTCATAAAATATATCTAATACTCATTCTGAGATTCTGAATGTTGGTAGACAAGAGATGATAGATACATAGATTAATAGATAGACAGATTGTTATTGCTGTTGCTAGTGCTGTCAAGACAGTTTTGACTCTTAGCAACCCTTTATAGAGCTTCCAAGCCTTTAAATTTTTGTGGGAGCAGAAAGCGTAATCTTTCTCCAGCAGAGCAGCTGGTAGGCTCAAAGCATGGACGTTGTGGTTCATAGTCAAGAGCTTAATGTATGGAACCATGACACTTTAGATAGATAGATAGATAGATAGATAGA